TGACCCCACACCCCGTGGTGAGACCCCTTCCCAAGTCTGGTCACCTCTGGGCAGGGCACAGCTGGATTGCCAGCGGTGCCCAGCATCACCACCGTGGTGTCACCACCCCGGCGTCACTACCCCAGTGTCACCACCCCGGTGCCTTATCCCCCAGGGGGGATGGCGACACTGTGGCGTTCCAAAGGAACTTTTGGGGACTCTGGAGCTGCTGGTTGAGACGCTGGCCCCAGTTGTGCCCGGGGGCGCTCCCAGCCATGTGCCACCCGCCCGGAAATGGGGACGGTGACACTGCTTCCAACCAGGATTTAAATGCCACCAAGGTTAGGAGCAGCTGAGAAGAGATTTCCAGGATTGGATTTTTGGATGGAGATGCCTCAATTCCGGCTAAGCTACACTTTAAGCATCAACGTCCCGGGTCGGCCCCCGGGCACTGACACAGTTGTCACCCTCCACGTGGCATCAGGGCGCTGGCATCTGGGTGACAGCTCTGGGGTGCTCTGTGGGGCTGAAATGAGGCTGCTCTCAGTCCCTGAAGGACCCCAGAGCCAGAACCACCCCAGAGCTGGGATCCCATGGGACTCCAGAAACAGCACCCTGAGGCACCCCAGAGCCAGGACCCTGAGACACCCCAGAACTGGGACACCAAGGGATCCCAGAACTACAACCCTGAGAGACCCCAGATGTGTGATCCTGGAACCACGACCCTGAGGGACCCCTGAGCCAGGACGCAGAGCTGGGACCCCAAAGCCAGGATCCAGAGCCAGGAGCCAAGAGCTGGGAACTCAAGGTACCCCAGGATCCAGAGCCAGGATACCAAACAACCCCAGAACCTGAATGACCCCAGAACCAGGGCCCTGAGGGAGCTCAAAGCCAGGATCCAGAACCCTGAGGAACCCCAAACCCAGGACCCCAGAGCCATCACCCCAAGGGACCCCAGAACCAGGACCCCAAATCCCAGGATGTAGCTGCCAACCGAGCCGGGTCTGGGGGTGCCCAGCAGAGCCATGGCCAGGCGTCCCCTCAGTGTGTACCCCAAAACCAGACCTGGAGAGGAGCCACAGGCCAGTCCTTTAATGCAGGAGGGGACAGACAAGGCTGGGAACGCCCGATTCTTCAGGATGCCCAATTCCATGGATCCCATCCATGTGCTCAGGTCTCCTCCCCAGTGCTGTGGAGGGGCCACCGGTGAGTTAGGGGAGGGGACCCCCACGGTGACAGGGGACCCTGGGGAGGGTGGCACCTACCGCAGGCACTGGCAGAAGCGGATTACGGACCGCTCCTGCTCCGCAGTCTCGATGGAGCCGGGCCGCAGGCGCCGGATCTCGCGGATGGCGTCGCCGCCGGCCAGGTGCCGCTCCTTGCACAGGTAACAGGCCAGCAGGGTGCCCGTCCGGCCGTGGCCCAGCATGCAGTGAACTGCCACAGCCTGGACACAGGGACACGGAGGGTGGGGGGCACTGCCGGACCCTCTCGTGCTCCCCGTGGCACTCCCTGGGTGACAGGCGATGCCAGCTTTGGCACCTCTCCCTGGTGTCCCCTCTCCAAGTGTCAACCCCCAGGGTGCAGCCCCCTGAGATGTCACACCCACCAGGTGGCACAAGCCTGCCACAGGTGTCCCCTCCAGGGAGTTGTGTCCCTCCCCCGAGGTATCTCCCTCATTAAGGTGCCATTCCCCCAAGATGTCATTTCCCCCCCTCCAAAGCATCCCCCACCACCAAGGTGCCATCCCTCCAAACGTCCCTCCTCAAGGTGTCCCTCCCCAAGGATCTCCCCACCCTGAGGTATTGTTCCCTCAAGGTGTCACCTTGCTGAGGTCTCCCCCCACCAAGATGTCACACCCTCAAGATGTCCCCCACCCTCAAGGTGTCTCCCCTCTGCCATCTCCCCTCAGGTGTCCTCAAGGTGTTCCCCCAGATGTGTTCCCTTCCCTGGTGTCTCTTCCCCCAGGTATCCCCCTGGATTCTCCCCCAGTGTCACCACCCCAGTCTCCCCCCGTTGTCCCCCAGGTATCCCCCAATTCCCCCCCGGGTGTCCCCGGCCTTACCTCCCCGCGGCCATTGGCCTCCTCCACGATCTGCAGGAAGCTCTGGATCTGCTCGGGGCTCGGGGGGGTGAAGTCGGGCACACGGAGCCGGTGGAGCTGGATTTGGGGGCAGCAGCCGTGGTGCGGGGGGGCGTGCTCGGTCAGGGACACGAGGTGCCGCACGCCGTGATCCCGCAGGTAGCGGTAGTGCCCCGGCTCCCGCGGCATCGCCAGCCCCGCCAGCCGGCCCTCCACCACCCACGAGAAGTTGGGGGGCTCAGATGCCCCCATGGCCTGTGGGGACAGGGGACACTGCTGCTCCGGGGACCCCGCCTGGGCCAGAGCCGTGGATCCCCTCGGATCCCCCGGGTCAGGACCCACAGGAGCCCCAAGACACAGTGCCCTGGATCCCCCATCTCAGGATCTCCAGGACACACAGGAAAGACCCCTTGGGATGCCCTGGCCAGCCCCCTTGGGGCCCCCATTTCAGATCCCCGGGACCCCCAGGTCAGGCCCCCATGCCTCCCAGTGCCACCCCCAGAGAACACGGGTCAGGACCCCCAGGACCCCTGGGACTCACAGTTCAAATTCCCTGGGATCTCCTGGCCAGGACCCCCAAGTTAGAGCCCCCAGTTCAGGACCTCCAGGACCCTCAATATATCACCCCCAGGAGAACACAGCCAGGCCCCCAAATCAAGTCCCCAGAGACCCCCAGTTCAGGTTTCCCAACACCAGCCCCTGGAGAACATGGCCAAGCCCCCATTCTGGCCCCTGGGACCCCCCAGCTCAGACCCCCCAAGTCAGGCCAGACCCCAGAGAGACGATTTCAGGGACCCCCAGCTCAGACGCCCAGACCCTCCAACACCATCCCTCTGGAGAACCCGGCACTCCTCCAGGAGCCCCAGTACCACCGCAAAACCCGCTGGCCAGGACCCTTGGGACCCCCAAATAAAGCCCCCAGACCCCCAGCTCACACTCTGCCCATCAGGACCCCTGGCCCCCCAAAACCAACTCCCTGGAGAACCTGGCCAGATCCTCAGGACCCCCAGGTCAAGACCCTGAGATTCCCCAACTCAGACCCCCCATGACCCCCAAAACCTCACCCTGAAGAACGTGGCCAGGGTAGCCCAAACTCCCCTGAGCCCCCTGCAAGGATTCCTGGGACTCCCAAATAAAGCCCCCAGACCCCAAATTCAGACCCATCAACTGAGACCCCCTCATGTCAGGACCCCCAGGCCCCCCCAGACCCACCTCCCCAGGAGAGTGTAACCGGGTCCCCCAATCCAAACCCTCCCACCTCATCATCCCCCGGGACCCCCGTTCACCCCCCGGGACCCCCCGGGACCCCCGTTCACCCCCGGGCCCGTGTGGCCGCCCAGCTCGGACCCCCCGTCCCCACAGGCCGCAGCCCCGAGCCCGAGCCCCGCCGGGCCCCGGCCCCGCTCCGCTCCCTCCCCCCCGGCCCCGCCCCTCC